CTCGTGGGTTTCATCCGGCAAGTCATCATATACTTCTGCCGCATCTGCGGTCGGGTTCGCCGCCAAAAGGTCACAAATCGCCTGTCCTTTGACCGATTTTTGCTGTTTGAAGTGCAAATCATACTGGGACAAGAGGATGGCCCATTTTGCCAACCGCCAATTCATCGAACCCGGTTGCGTCATAAATACTCGCACGGGATTAACGTTGGAGATAACGTAAATTGTTTGTCCCACTAAGTAATGCCGCATCTTTTGCACTGCAAACACCAACGCGAGACATTCTTTCTCAATCATCGGATATCGAGACTCAGCGCCCACCAAAGTCCGACTTAAATAATAAACTGCCTGTTCGTGACCATTATCATCGTCTTGTGCTAACAAAGCACTTATTGAATGGTTCATCGCCTTGATGTAAATCAAGAACGGTTTACCTGATTTTGGTGCAACGAGAACAGGAGGATTTGTCAGATACATCTTGATATCCTCGAGTGCCTTTTGGCAGGCATCATCCCAGATAAATGATACCCCTTTCTTGTTTAGCTTAGAGAACGGTTGGCACTTCCCAGAAAGATTTGAAATAAACCGTCTGATGTAAGCTAAACGCCCTTGCAAACCTCTGAGTTCTCTCAGATTCCTCGGGGGTTGCAATTCATGTATCGCCTTCACCTTATCGGGATCGATATGTATACCCTTAGTGGTGACGACGAACCCAAGGAATTTTCCGCTGGACATTCCAAGGAATGATTTAGTGGGGTTCATCTTCAATTGATGACTCCTCATGAGATCGAACATCGTCTTCAAATCTTCGATGTGATCTTCTTTGTTGTGGCTTTTCACAACCAAATCATCAACGTAGCATTCGACTGTTTTCCTAAGATGTTCTTGGAAAATCTTGGTCATCGCTCGCTGGTATGTGGCACCAGCATTCTTCAAACCGAAAGGCATCACCGTATAGCAGAAGACGCCGAGGGGTGTTCTAAACGCTGTATGCTTCTCATCCTCTGGATGCATCTTGATTTGGTTATATCCTGAAAAGCCATCCATGAAGGACATCCTCTCGAATCCACATGTATTGTCGATAATGACATCTGTGATTGGGAGAGGAAAATCATCTATTAATTTGGACTACTTCATCTTCGGTTGGTGGTTCTCTCTGTTCGAACCTATCACCGTACTGCATGTTTAGGTGATGAACCCATGGGTCTTCCCACGTTGGCATTTGATCGTCATCCTCCAACGTAGATGGATCAGCTGTAGTCATGTTTGACATTAATGTTTTGAACATTTCTCCCAAACTGGTGTCGGAATCCTCAGCTGAAGAATCTGGCAAGTACCCATCCTTAGCTTTGTTAGCAATTTGATCGATAATTTGCCAACCACATTCGTCATCTGATGAAACATAGCCTAAGCCTCGCCCATATTTATAATGATCCTCAGGTCTCCCTTTTGGAACATATACCGCTTTGGCTGGAGTACGAGGGCCTCGATCGAAGTATAAACCTTCTCCGAGTGTGAAATCGTATCCCTGCTTTTCCATGAGCTTGCGCGCATCCGGACTATATTTAGACAAATGCTGACCAGGTTTGTCATCATCTTCATCCTCACTTAGGAAATGATCTGGTAAGGGAGAGCTTTTTCCTTTACCATAAATCACTTCTTTTGCACCTCCTACCTTGTTCGGGATGATCATGGTTGTTCCGAAAGAATGCTGGAGGCGCTCCTTCGTTACATAAGACGATTGAAGCGGCATATACAAGTCGGTATTATCATGCAGTTCTCTTATCACAGCATCAAGAGACAAGGAGTACTCTAAATCATCTTTTATTTCAACATCAGCAAGTTGCCAGTTACAACCGCTATCTGACGATTGTTCATCGTCAAGATTGATTACAAAGGGTACAATGTCATTTAAAACAAAACCACCATTGTAATCGAATCCGGCTTCGGAATCAGCTTCTTCTCCGCTTTTTATTCGGATCTTCCCCAAAGGCCTTGACCCGCTGGTATTGAATCCGTAAATGACTGTGCCTGTAGACGCCAATTTGCTGACTGGAATGCCAAGACTATGCATTAGGCGAAGCGGCATAATGCTCACAGCGGAACCCGGATCTACTTGGATTCGGTTGACCTCGCTGGAGCCAATGTACCCGACAAAATACAAGGGCCGATCATGGTTTGAATTCTTCGTCTGCAT